TCAACTGGTGCAGAATGTTCCACGGATGTATTCAACACAATAAATCTGCTGGCAAGTTAATAAATAATAAACAGTCTCTATATATAATCTTCAACAATGCGTTACATAACCACTTGTAAATAATTTTCAACTTAGTCACTGATAATAGTAAAGCAAATGGAGCATAATATAAAACTAAAAAGGAAAATTGTAATAGTTGTTTACTGGCCAATTACAAAGTGATGTACACGCAGTCATGTCTTGTACCAACAATTTGCCGAGCTGTAACTTAAACCCATTTGCAAAGTAGCACACAAATGCGATTTAAGGCAATTTGCACAAATGTTGTTCACTGCGCTGGTGAGTGTTTTATCTTTGACGTCTGACTGGACCACAGGTGAGCGCCTCCGCGGAGGGTTGGCTTTGGCATTAAGAATGACCCGAGGCAAACTTACTGAAAAATTTATCATGGTGTGTATCTTAATTGTTAATATATCTGTAGTATTTTTGTATAAAAAACTGCTTCAGAAATAATTTTAGTACATCTTACAAAAGTGTAATAAATAGGCTATTTCAGTAAGATTTTATTTTTATATCATAGACTCATAAGATTGGAGTAACTGACTTTTGGATATCAAAAGAGTATGATAGTTTTCAAAGCTTCCAAACACTGAAAATCTAGGCTTTGTCATGAACATTCATTTACATTTTGACTAGACACATAAAAATTATGCTAGTGAAGTTATGCTACCATGCACTGAAATCCTTATTGCCAGCTAGAATGTACAGAACTCACTGGGAAATCTCTCGCCAAGAACATCCCACCAGCAGGTCTATTAAAACTTGTCTATCTCTACAGTCTTTGGTTCACAGGGTAATAACACAAGTTCATAAATGACACTTCTGTCCTCTGGCTCAACATTTGTACTGATTTTAAAGTGTAAGTATTTACAAGTAACTCGATCACACGCGTGGGTCTTACTCCGAAGGTAAGACTATGTCTGATAATTCGGGAAGCAGGCTTTCTGCCCTGCTGCCGCGCCTGCTCAATTGTCACGCAAATATTCATTCCCTCAAGATGGCTGCATTTCTTTTTAAGCAATGCATGGAATCCAGTGACAACAACCTTTAAAAAAGGTTACTTGCACATACATAACTGAAAGGTCAATTACAAGACCAAATGGCAATTCCAAATTGTTTTTAAAACAATTTTTCATATGAAAAACACGTTCTTTCGAGTAATGCACAGCTATGGCAACACTGGTGCAGCCCATGGTATTCCAGTCCCGTATGGTTTCACACACCATTTACATCTGCAACATGCACTTAAAGGTTTGCAGTAATGCCGTTTTATGTTTATTGTTTATATGGATTTCCTCTCCAGACCGATCAGCAGCTCTTATCACGTTGCTTATCGCACACCAAGGGCATCCACAACAGCTCATTATGTGGAGGCCGAACTTCTCTCTGTGGGTCTCTTAGGATTATTATCATTTTTTTTTTTACAAATTTCCATGTTTGTTGTAAATGTCACCATGAGAAATTAAATGCATTTTTCCTTTCCATGAAGTTCCCAAATGGTTGTAATTTTTAACACTGCAAGATTACTTATTTCTGCCCACTGTAAGGAATTTCCATTTATCTTTTACAGCTATATCTGTCTTTCAGTTCATAGCCAATATCTTGACAGTCTTTAAAAAAGTAAACACTGAAACATCACAATGAATTATCATGAAACTTACTAACCTCTGTGAAAATATGAACTTGAAACGTTCCATGTGCAACACTTAAGAGTTCTGAAAGTGCCGTTCCGACTGCCAATTTCCTCTCACAGTCTTTGACGCGAATCTAAAAGATCCTCGTCTTTCTCCGAAACCTTCTCCTCAGTGATGCCTCGGCCAGACGTCACTCGCTCTTCGCCGCCTCCGCGCCCTTGCTGAACTTGCTTTTCGAGGCGAGGGCTGCGATGATGGCGGTGGAGGACGAGGTCGACGACGAGGATATCGAGGAGGAGGTCGACGTTGAGGCTAGCGCGGGCGAGCAGACCTTGTGGTGCGAGTCCCAGTCCTTGTGCTGGCAGAAGGGTCCGCAATATCTGGCCACGTTGCACCCACTACAGGTCTCGTGGGCCTTCCTGCCGCAGTTCCAGCACGCCTGCAGGAGAGCCACAGTCAGGGTCGCGAGGGGGAAGGGGCCGGGGCTAGTACGGGTACCTCTTGATTTTCTGGCAAGTTTTGTCTTTTGTAATGTTTGATAAAAGGTACTTGACTCAAAGTATTTCACAAAATGTCAGTTTACTCTTATAGCAGTGTGAGAAACCAGAGATTTGATGAAGAATGATAAAGCTATGGACTTTAAGATTCAGTTGCTCAAAATATTGAAAAAAAAACTAGAATAAGCATGGATTCTAGACAGTATTTTTTTTTTACTTTATAAAAATTCCATTTTAGCAATCGAAACTTTGTTAAAACACAGTAGTTATATGCTATACCTAATATTCATTTTATACAGGTTTTGAAAT